TATATATATATATATATATATATATATACGAATATAATTTGTATTGTTTATTGTCATTATGTGTGTGTCTGCATCCATATTCCTCTTTTTATTATTTACTTTATTTTTTTCTTCTTCTTTAGATAGGGGTTTTTTATTTTATTTTATTTTCTCCTAGACCTCTTTTGAATACTTGTGGGAGGTCTCTTTTCTCTTTTTTTTTTTTTTTATTAGTTGTTGCTATTGTTATTTTCACTTAGTTATACGATTAAACGGTGCCCCCGTCCCCCCGCTCCCCTCACTCGCCTAAACAAACATGACCGGTTTAAGGCGTGAGGATGAACTCAAATTGAAAGAATTAAATGAACTTTGCCAGCAGGTGGGCCGACGAAATCTACCGGAGGATGATCAACTCTATATGCTTTATCTAGAAGACTGTTATGATTCTTTCCTGGAGGAGGGATTGCGAAAACTTCGTGGGGAATACGAAAAGGAATCTCTGAAAGGTATTAAACGACTCTTTCGATGCAAATCAAAGAATAATAAATTGGAATGTAATCAACATAGAAATAATAATATATTAACAGTGCCATCATCTAATAGCAGTGCTACTGGTACAACAACAACAACAACAACAACAACAACAGAAGAGGAAGAAGAAGAAGAAGAGAGAGATAAGGAAAGCGGTGTATCTATTTCTTCACATTTAGATAAACCCGCAGCAGTGAGCTCTTCAGAGAGATGTGGAAACAAACTGTGGAGTTGGATCACGGATGATATTGTCGTTGGTGGAGTACCGCATGCGAGTTCTCATCCCACTGCGGGGCATTTACTTGAATTCTGGCGACAGTGTGTGGCGAGAGGTGGTTCAGCACTTACGGTGATTTCTTGTTTAGAAGCGGAGGAAACAATTCCAGCAGGATTTGCAACGTTAAAGGATTGGCAACGATTTACTGGAATAACAGAGTTTTACTTGGTGCCATTTATTCCATCGGAGAAACAGGAGAATCCACCGGAAGTGAGTAAAGAGATGATGGAGGAGTTGGTGATGCTTTGTAGTAACGTTTACAATGCATATCCCATTCTTAATAATAATAATAATAATAATAATAATAATAATAATAATAAAGATAAGAATAATGATAGTGATTGCAGGTGTAGTCCATGTGGAAAGGGTTTATGTTGGAAGTTTCACCTTGGAAAAGGAAAACGCAGGTTTACATCTGATATAAAGACACACCGCATAGTGTATATAATGTGCAAAACAGGTCAAACACGGTCCTGGGTGTTGGCAATGGTGTATCTGATGACACAGTATAGTATGGAGTATAATGAGGCCAATCAACTCTTGTGTCGAATGCGGGCATTTGAACCGAGTCCATCGCAGGTGGAATTTGCATTTAAAGTATCAGACTATATTCATCATCCACGAACTGTTGAAAAGACAATGGAGGAACAAATGTATTCTGAAGTATTGACTCAGGTACTTTCTCTTTCACCTCTTTACCGAGAGCGACTCTTGCGTGATCTTGAAAAGTTAACCTAGTGAAGTATATTATTGAGTGGGATGGATTTTGAGTTATGAAGAAATGCTTATTTTTCTACTATCCTCCAAGTATATGTTTAGTTTTTTTATTTTATTTTGTTACTATCGAATTGAGAGAAAAGGGGGTAGAATTTCCTCTATGCTTACACACATAAATATATATATATATATATATATGTATATATATGTGTAAAGGTGTGTATGTGTGCCAATCTATATCCAGTTCCATCCTTTTTTTTTTTTTTGTTTCCTTTTGCTTCTATTGCTTATAATAATAGTAATAATAGTACAAATAAAGAAGAAAACGAAAACAAAAAAAAAAAAGAGAAAAAATGCTCAGTACAGTACCGTCTCTGCGTGGGATGGTGTTATTTACGACCGCAGCTGCGGTGGAGTCTTTGACATCAAACTCCTGCACAGAGAAGTCGACCAGAGATGCCAAACAGGGAGAAACAACTCAAAGCGGACAAGAGACATCAGAGGAAATACTCTTCAAGGCCTTTAAACAGGAGTTAAACACATCTCCATGTACACAACACACACTTCTTAGTTCTATTCCTGTGGGAAAGGGAAGATCAAAGGGTCAACTCAATAAGTATCGCTGTATTTCTCTGCAGCGTCCCGCAAATGGCAGCTACAGTTATTCTTTATATCTCATTAACTTGGATCACTTATATGATGAAAGTGTTGATTTACTTAACGAGGCACATCAATGGTGGTTGACGGCTTTAAAGGATATTCAAAGGAATAACACTCATCATCATCATCATCATCATCATCATAAGTTTGAGAATAGCAACAACGATGGTGGTGTTGAGATGGAAAAACCTGAAATAATCCTTATTGTAATTTCTCCCACAGAGGCTCAAATGAGAAAAAGAAGAAGACCTGGAAGTATGTTACCATCTCTTGTACGAATTACATCAGAGAATGTGATGGAAAATGTTGAGGAGATGCATGTACGGCTTTGTGGATTTCCACATCATATTCATTTCAAAATATCAAGAGAACAACTTCAATGTCTTTCCTCATTTTCTACTAAAGACAACACTTCCACATCTATGAGTGAATGGGATTGGCTCATTCTACAGCCAAAGGAACTTGTTGTTTCTCACACATGGTGTAGTTTGACGTTTATATCTAGTGATTTCATAACTCATTCCATTTTCTTTTTGGAGTGGTGTATTCCAAGTGATTTTGTTTGGTCTTCACCGCAGTCATCCGCAGATGGATGGGAATGTGATATACTTGGCAGATTATTACGAGATATTACTAAACATCAACACACTATGGATAGTCCCACACATGTTAACAACTACAACGACTACTCCTATTATCATCAACAAGAACAAGAACAAGAACAACAATATCATCCAATCTCTAAGCGACACCGGTTAGAAGATACAGAGGCGTTTGTAGACATGGTTTCTCATGTATCACCAGAAACTGTAAACACCACAGAGGCTCTTGAATATGCAAAGAAAGTGGTGGATATGCGTTTTGTTGAGATGATGTGTACAAGAAGGGCTCTCACGCCAGACAGAGAAGCCACAGTGAGAAGTCTTCTTGGACAACTCCGCATGATGGAGGAGACACACACTCTTCACGATATCACTATTAACAACAATGAAAAGACGAATTATTCTTTTTCTGCTATTATGCCGACGAAACAAACAGAACGAGTGAAGAAGGAATGGGAAAAATTACAACAGAGCCACCACTATCATTATCATCATAAAGAAAAACAACAACAAGTGCCACTCTCCCATTTAGAAGAAGAAGAAAAAAAAGAAAAAGAAGAGAGAAGAATACATCCTTTTTTGGAGAAACTACAAGAGCGATTATTACATTCAAACAAACGAAATACAGTGTGTCCATTGCAGTTTACGGGAGATGCGGAAAAACTGCTGGAGGCCCCACGTATCGCTGAAGAGATACTTCACGCACCGCAGCAAGATGCGATTGAACTTGCAGATGTGGCTCAGTTAAGAATGTTAATAAAGTCTGATGTGAACTCCTCTTCTTATTCCTATTCTTCTTATCTTCCTTGTGGAGATCTTCGAAGTATACTCGAGGCATCTATGGACGCGTACATCACATCAGCGGCGGATGGGGAAGATGAAAAGATGATGAAGCCAACAAGGTTCACTCCATATAAAGAAGAAGAAAAAGAGGAAAAAGAAGAAAAAGAAGTAGTAGTAGAAGAAGAAGCAGCTAGGGAGAATGGAGTAAGACTACTGGAAGTAATGGGTGATGCTATTCTTAACGCTGTGAATGCCTTTGCTGGGAATAGAGATAACACACATAAAGAATCCTGCAGTAGTGTGGATGATGTGATTCAACACGTGTGGAATGTTATTACAGAATACCTTGAAAGTGATAGGAATAATGATACTGAACCCTTTCGTTCAGCTGAAATACATTCAAAGACTGATTGGATACGATCACGTCTTCAAGAGGCTATTTCCGCTTGTGTAACCATAGATGATGATAATGATGATAATAATAATAATAATAATGTGGGAAATACGAAAGAGCGCAGAAATCTACTCTGGCTCTCACACGCTGCGTTTCTCATCTCTCACACTGCCATTCCAAATACCGCAATAGACCCACCGCCGCCGCCAATATGCAGAAGAGGTGAAGTGATAACAAGTGAGGAACACACACGGCGTGTTGTGCGAGCGATGGAGGCACACGTTTTCTTTCTTGATGCCGCACTCTGTGCGTTTGATAGTGCGATTCTCAATCGATGGAAAGAGGCTCGGGAGGCACTGCAGCAAAGAGAAAAGGAAAAAGGGAAAAAGAAAACACGATGTGTTTAGTTTTAATTCTACTTTTATGATGGGATATATATATATATATATATATATATATATATATATATATATATA